TAAAGAATGTTGTAAAAACTTAATAACTGCTAAAATCTATTGGCCATGAAGGCTTTCTTTGTATTGATATTAATAAAAAAAATCTAGTTGTGTATATTACGAATTATTATTTAATAAAACCCTTTTCTATTTTTACGAAAGTACGAAAACCTTTCGTAATATTTTTTTCGTAAATTTAAGCGAAATTAAACATAATGATATTAATTATATTATCATTAAATAAAACTACAACATTTTTATAAAATTTAGGAAAAAGTATAATATAATTCATGAACTATTTTCATAATAAAAAGAAAAATTCATGTGGAGAATAATTTGTTAACTAATATTAGAAAAATTATTTTAAAATGAACAAAAATTTTGCATAAATGAATATTTCGTAAATTTTTTCGTATTTACTCAAAATCTACTTTTTACAACTTATGTAAATTAATTTTCTTTAGATTATGTATTTTGCATTATACTAAAATATTTCGTAAAATTTCGTATATATTACGAAAGAATTTCGTGGTGCGAAACAACGAAAGATTCGTACAATGTACGACATTTTTCGTATATATTAGGCATGTATTTTTCAGTGTAGTTTACAATAAACAACAAAAGGGTGCTCACGCTTTATGCACGGAAAAAAATCCATGCCTAATATATAGGAAAATCTTAAAAAAATTAATTTACATAAATTGTAAAAAGTAAATTTTGAACAAATATGATAAAATTAAGAAATATTAATTTATGCAAACATTTTTATTCATTTTAAAATAATTTTTCTAATTTTAGTTAACAAATTATTCTCCACACGAATTTTCCCTTTTATTGTGAAAATAGTTCATGAATTATATTATACTTTTTCCTAAATGTTATAAAAATGTTGTAGTTTTATTTAATGATAATATAATTGATATCATTATGTTTAATTTCGCTTAAATTTACGAAAAAAATATTACGAAAGGTTTTCGTACTTTCGTAAAAATAGAAAAGGGTTTTATTAAATAATAATTCGTAATATACACGAAATTTTTGTAAATATTACGAAAAAAGTAGTTACGAAATTTTTTTCGTAAAGTTAAGCATGAATTATTTTCAGTGTATAAAAAAATCGGTGTAAATATAATAGGGTATTAAATATACTACCCAGAGTGAAAACCGCTATAGTGTTTTAAATATATTACAAAACTGGTAATATTAGGTATTGTCATATACATAGGTTAAACCAATAATAAGCTGTAATAAAATCTTACCTTTTCGATGTTTTTGTCGAATATTGCTTTTCTTTCTAGAGGCATATCGTTTGTCGCCATCAGCAACCCTTCGTCGTTGGTATATAATATCTCTATACCATTGAGCTAAATAGAAATGTCGAGCATAATCCCATATTAAATTCTCTTCTTGAGCATTAACTGCCAAAAAATCTAAAAGAATTTTTTGGAGAAATTCTGTTCTTTCTTCTTCGGGGTCTAGTTTTATTTTGTTCTAAAAGAATGATATAATTATTATTTGTCTTGTTATATAAATATAGTATATAGTACATTAATCGTTGGTAGGTCACCTTCCCTTTCCTGTTCGACTTTTATAGATTTTATCATAGAGTCGATTATGTTAACTTTACATCTAGATTCGACTGTATCTTTTCGTAATCGCGATGCGACAATTCCCAAGTAATCTAATGATACCAAACGAATACTTTGTTCTATAGTTTTATCTGAAACATATCGTACTAGCATCGTTCCAAGTAGGGAAAGCAGCAATTCAGATGCTGGCCATTCAGGCTTATTTACTGTTGACAGTAAGTCATGTATAAAATTCTCAAATAGTGGTCTAAAATCTGTTTCGTTTGACCGAGATTTACATTTATTAAGAAAAGTTGTGAGAAAATTTCCTCCAATACTTATTGCTACATCATATTTTTTTAAAACAACAACATCAACATTTGGCTTTTTTGGTTTTGAAACATCGTTTTGTTCATAATCTACTGACTTTAAATTATCATTTGAGCACAATGAATCGGGTAAAATTGTAGCGCATTGAATTAGCTGTAGAACTAAGGCAGTCACCATTTGTATGTTCCCGCCATTATTAGTTAACTTAAATGGACGAAGGTTTCTTTTCGATGATGGTAAACGATCAATAGATGATAAAATATCACCTAGTATGCTGCTTCGAATTTTATCATAATGCTCCTTTCGAAATATCTAAAAGAAAGATGTTAATAAAGATTTTGAATATTGAAAACAAAATAATGTAACTAGCCTATATGCTCTTATATACACCATTTTCAGTGTTATAAAAATACATCTAATGTTTGATTAAATTTAAAATGTATTCCCAATTAATTTAAACAATGATCAAAACATAATCCAAAATTCGTTAAACTAATGTGTTTCATATAAATTTTTCAAATTCAATCTCGGAATGAGTTCGAATTTTGTTGTAAACTAATAAATTTAATAAAAATTATGCCCCTATTATGGTTTACAAAGTTTTGAACATCTTTTTATTGCAAATTCGTTGTAATAAATTTCAACTTTTAATTTTATGTTGTTATCGATAATACCTAATAGCAAAATTTCAACTAAAGAAGAGTTGAATTGTAAACCATAATAGGGGCATTAAAATTCAATTTAAATGAGAAACATATTAACCTCTATCTGAATCTGGAATCTAGTTTTTCTAATCCCTTGATTTGTTTAAAAGTTATTTAAAAATAGTAAAATGTCATTAACCTTTCAAAGCCATTTTTCTCGAAACGAAGTTTTTTGATGGCTTGTATGGTTTCTAAATTATGAAAAACCATGGTATTATTTTTTCGCGATTGTTAAAAAGTTCACGCATCAACTGTCTGTCTTCGAACCCAAATCTTAGATTATTTTATTTGATATACTCTTAGAAATTTCCCTCCATCTGCAATCCCTTTAAAAGCAGTAGATGATCAGTAGGTAGAACCGTTATTAAGCAATTGTTCAATAACAGCAAAAGAAAACAAATGTATAAACATTCGTACATACATAATATACATATATATTATATGTATTTAATGCAAATATATGTATGTATGCTTGTACTTTTACTGCAGTGGAAAACAAAATGTAATAAAAAATAAATATAAATATATCAAAGATATGATCAAAACAAATACGATCAACAAATTTCAACTCGTTTGGTTGTTGTTGTTGTAACAGTTCGACTGTGGCCGATAGTTCTTTCCTGAGGAAAAACCTTTCGGTTGATACAGCTGTCGGGTATGTCGAGTATGACTTGGGTTGTTCCGGAGCGTAGCTCCAATTGTCATGGAACGAACTCATTTGGTGGGGGGTGAGGTGTCTTTTTATTTTTTATGGACTTTTTGATTAGGGGATGTAAAATTTTATATTTACAAAAGCATTAAAAAGTCATATCCTACTAATGTATGTATGTATATTAGAATAACAGTTGTTGTTGGAATCTTGTTCGTCTTAACCCCACAAAATGATTCCCCTTTCCATCGATTCGCACTCGATTAATAGACGTTAACACGTGCCGCTCGTCGCTCAAAGTTTGAAAAAATCCAAATTTTTGGCCAAAAAGCTATCATATGAAGCTATAACTCCAGAACGGTAAAACGGTAAAACAGAAACATGCTTAGTACCTCAAAACAAAGCGCATATTTTACTTCAAAATTTATATTATATACATAATTCTCGTTACTTTAAGTCAGAGTTACAACGGATTTTGTCTTCAAAAACTTGACCTGGTCGCGGTAGGTGCATTCTTCGTATATTTTTAAATTATGTGATAAATGATGCTATTAGGTAAATATTTTACTTATTATTCTTAAAGAAAGTAAAAGTTATTAAAAATTCCCCAGGCCATTAACGTGTCTCAGAGCACTTGATTCAGAAATGTGAAAAAAAAATTTAACTTATTTTGGAATATATTCTAATAAAACTATTTTATTACATAAAATATACCTATATTTTCTCGAATATAAGTTTTTGTCCTTAAAATATATCGTGAACCTGTTCACGGCAGTTTCAAAACTCCATTTTCAGTTTTTTTAAATTTTTGCTAAACAAATTTTAAATTTTTTGAAATATCACCGGGGGATTTATGATCAATAGATTAGGGAATAAAACAGTGAAAAAATTTGGTCTTATAGTAAAAGCTGTACCTGCAATTTGAATTCTGCGAATTTCGCGAAAATCCATTTTTTTGTAATATTTTACAAAATATGTCCTAATTCTTTACTGTTATACATTTTAAACTAAATATGTACAGGATATTATTTCTCAGATAATATAAAATATGTCCCTGAAGTTATATATAAATCGGGAAATCCTAAGGCGTAAACTTAAGAGGTCAAATTTTGCAATATTTGGATATTCTCATTAAAACATATCTAAATGTTATTTGCTGGCCATATTTACATAATAACAGGAATTTACAGTATATGGTCCGATATTTAAAATATCAAAAAAAAAGGTAAAATTAACCCTTTAAAGCACTTAAGTCCAATATAATCCCAAAGTTATATAAAGCCTTAATTAAATTTATTAATTGAACTTTGGGGTTATATTGAACCCAAGTGCTTTAAAGGGTTAATTTTAATTTTTGTTATTTTAAATATTGGACCATATACTATAAATTTTTGTAATTTTAGGAAATATGGCCAACAAATAAATAATATTTCGATATGTTTCAATGAGAATTTTCAAATATTGCAAAATTTGACCTTTGACCTCAAAAGTTTACGCCTTAGTATATGCCGATTTATATACAACTTAAGGGACATAATTTATATTATCTGAAAAATAATATTCTGTAAATATTTTTTTTAAAATGCATAACAGTGAAGAATTACGACATATTTTCTAAAATATTACAAAAAAAAATAGTTTTTCGCGAAATTCGCAAAATTCAAAATTCAAAAAATTCAAAACTATAAGAGGTATTGACCTAATTTTTTGCTGTTTTATTCCCTAACCTATTGATCATAAATACCCTGGTGATATTTCAAAAATTTTAAAATTTGTTTAACAAAAATTTTAAAAGACTGAAAATGGAGTTTTGAAACTGCCGTGTAAAAAATTATTTTTTTATCATAGCTAAGAACAAGTTCACGATATCTTTTAAGGACAAAAACTTATATTCGAGTAAATATAGATACATTTTATGTAATAAAATAGATTTATTAGAATACTTTCCAAAATAAGTTAAATTTTTTTCCACATTTCCTAATCAAGTGATCTGAGACACGTTAATGGCCTGGGAATTTTTAACAACATTCACATTTTTCAACCAATTTTACTTTTTGAAATACTAAATCTATGTACGTTATGATTCTTTAACAATAATAAGTAAAATATTTACCAAATAGCAACATTTATCACATAATATCAAAATATACGAAGTATGCTCCTACCGCAACAAGGTCCCGTTTTTGGAGACAAAATTTATCGTAACTGTGTTTGACTTAAAGTAACGAGAATTATGTTATAATATAAATTTTGAAGTACAATATTAGCTTTGTTTTGAGGTACTAAACGTGTTTCTATTATTTACCGTTCTGGAGTTATAGCTTCATATGTTAGCTTTTTGACCAAAATTTTGGATTTTTTAAAATTTGAGCGACGAGCGGCACGTGTTAACGTCTTTTAATCATGCTCAATTTTCGGCTATCTCAATATCTGGAAAGGGGAATCATTTTTTGGGGTTAAGATGAACAAGATTCCGACATTTTTTCTCCCCATATACGATCCGGTCAGTCTAATGTACATATATAGACATTTTCAGCGAAAAGTCTGAATTTGTCACATCATGTCGGTGGAACAAAAAATTGGTTTATATTAAAATTTTGGCTGGTGCCTGATGTTTTTGATTCCAATGACATAAAAAAATTATTTTCACCAATTATTCAACATTCCAACAAAAAATAATTGATGTCATACTTTGCAAACCACATCTTAACCCTTCTAAAAATGCGATTACATTCTTTGCGCATTTATAAACCAAATATGAAAACACAGTTAAAAATGAGTAAAGAGATGTAGAAAAGTCACTACAAAAACATATTCGAAGTACTTCAAATTTTGATGCAAAACCAATGAAATTTACATAAGCGTTTCATTGGAATGTGGTTTATTTTTGACATACAAATATCAAAAATGAACAACATCCTTCCAATGACGCGCTTATGTAAAATTCATAGGTTTTTCACCTGAATTTGAAGCACTTCGTGTTACTAGTTGTGATGAAAATTCTACATCTTTTTCCACACTTTTTTTGGCTGGGATCATTAAACTTCAATATACAAGGTACAATAAATGGTAAAAGGTGTCGTAGAAGTTCGAATGAGATATGGCTAATTTCTTTGAACTTTAGTTAATAAAGATTCATTTCGTGATTCTCTTCCATGATGCCCCGATTCGACCAAACATCGCGAATTATTTGGCTTATATATATATATATATATTACATATATATATATATATATATATATATATATATATAATAAGAATTTAGAATTCAACCTTAAATTTAAAATACAGTAATACCTCTAATTTAAAATTCAGTAAATTCAGTATAAGGAGTGCGCACGGAAACAGGGTACATACGTTTGTGCTTTTTTTAAATTATATACGCGCATAAATAATTGGGATAATTAAAGTTTCTAAATCCGTCACAACCTTCAGTCATGTTAAGCCAAATTTGCTATTAATTGTATTAATTAATTTGTCTAATAATGAAGAATTTTGTAAAACTTAAGGTACGTTCACACCTAATAAATATTGACGAAAGAGACGTAACCACTATTTTTGTATTTGTTTTTTTTATCTTACATGATTTTTGTAATTGCAGAAAATATCGAAGTAAATAACAAGGATACATAACAAAGATAAATTAAATATTCACCTGAACGAAAGTCAAAAGTATATATTTTAGGTGTCACGTCGTTTTTATAAAATATTTGATAGGTGTAAAAGTAGCTTAACGAATATTGGTTTTTATAATTTTGTAACAAATTTTAATATTTCCACTCTAAGAAATTAATGTGGTAGGAAAGACTTTCCCCCACAATAATATTTTGTATTGGATAATATGAAAGGAATAGTTGACTATCGATACAAGTCCCTTGTCATCTAAAATTTTATTTTTTACACTGTAGGAATACTGAACAAAATGAGCCCATTTAAAAAATTCAGATGGAACATTCCTCAGAAACTTCGTTCAAAAACTAACAAGTGGACTGAAAAGAAAGTGACAGAAATTAGAAAGTCTCATGTAATTATGTTTCTGCTCTGATGCTAACTATCCTAACAAATTATTTATGTATTAATTTAAAAAAAAAAAATAAAAACTTAAAAAAAAAATCGACCAAATGTGTAAAATAAACTGAAAAGTAACAAAATTGAATTTTACGTTAAAAATTGGTATAAAATCAACAAAAATTATAAGATATTTAATGTTTATAAACTTGAACATTACTGTTGTTAATTATGCATATAGTATATTTAAAACAATTCACTTCTTAGTTTAAATTTTATTAAAATAAACACATGTACCAGATTTTTCGTGCGCACTCCTTATATACAGAATATCAAGAATGGAGGATTTGAAGAAACAATTTAGTTAATAAAACTTACCGTTGTAACTAGCTCTAAACATACAAACTGTAATGTATCGATGTTATCCACAAAAAATGGCTCAATCGCAAGAGTAGATAGAGGTAATACAATAGTATCTACAAAAATGCATTTGTCAAATAACATTACAAAAACTTTCATTAATTCAACGACTTTAGAATAAAGTAAATGAAGGTTTCGGTTGTGGTTTTGATGGGTTTTTGTTTTTTTTCTATTGTCGTTTTTCTTCATACTTTTTACAGTATATACGGAATCATATGACGGAAAAATAGTTTCCCTCAATTGAAATTGAATGAATTTGATAATAAGCGATATATTGTCTTCTTGCAGGAATTTTAAATCATTCACTGTTGAATATATATTACAAATAAGTAAACAAGCCTCAATTGCATTCAATATTTTTTCCATGACTTCATCGTCAAATATTTCATCTTCATCATCCTATATTTCAAATAGGAAGAAAATAATATTAAAAAGTAGAAACAAATCAATTTTAAATTTACTTACTGGACCTGCAGAGTAATTTTTTGCTAAATAAACATTACGCATAGCATAGTTTATTAATAAGGTTAGCTTGTTTTTTGGTATTAAATCCAGAACATTTTTTGCCTTAAGTTTTGCTACGTCATTGCTCATTGTATTTAACATTTTGGCCGAAATGCACTCTATATTTTCATCAACGTCATCTGCATGAATAGTTTTAAAAAAATAAATATTATATACATAAATTAACTACATACCAGACTCGAAGTTCGGTGATTCCGTGTCATCCAATAACTCAATTATTTGTTCCATATTACGCATAAATTGCTGATATGTTTGTGAACGTAGAACATCATCTTTTGAACACTTGGGGATATGTGCAGAGATGTTACGCTCTACTCTTCGTACTTTTGGCTTAGTGACTTTAAATAAAGAATTATTACGTTTAGTAAAATATTTAAAATGTTGTGAATCAAAAAATTATATTTAAAAAATATTTTTTTATTTTATATAAAAACTAATTAAGTTACTTCTTTGTTCTATAAGCCGGTTACGCGGTTAACCGAAAACCTATTTTTATTACTTATTTTGGTTTTTCGTGAACCTGTTTTTTGAAAATGTTAATTTTCGGTTTACCGGTATATCCGGATTTCATAGCTTGGTTAACCGGTTTCAAAAAAAAAAAATGGATTTTTAGCAGATTACCAAATATTCTTTCATTTATCACTCACGTTCATGTAAATGAAGAAAATAACTTTTATTGTGTTATCACCTATTCATGTACGAAAAGACAAAACAGGTTTTGCTTTATTTATTTTTGTATCTATTATTTTGTTTTTTATTTTCATAAACAAAATTGAGAAAAGAATATAGAAATATTTTCGTAATGAGCAGTTTTATTTTGCACTCTAACATTTTAAAGCAAAAATTTTCTTTTTTGCGCTTGTTGAGTTTTTTGTTGATTGTAAAAAAAAAACAAGTAAGAGTGCTATATTCGGCTGTGCCGAATCTTATATACCCTTCACCATAGTGTATTTAATAAATATCAATTTCATAAAATTTATATTTATTTCATTTTCCCGACTATATCATCAATCAATAGCAAAACAAAATGAACAACAACAGCGCTAAACGAAATAACCACACAAAAAACAAAATACACAAGGCAGTAAAACCAACAGCATCCAAACATACGAAACTGAATACATCAAGAAACAAAAACAATATACACAAGGCAATGAAACCAACAAACATCCAAACATACAAAACTGAATGCACCAAGAAACAAAAACAATATACAGAAGGCAATGAAACACACAGGTATCCAAACATACGAAACGAAATTCTCAAAAAAACAAAAACAAAATACACAACGCAATGAAACCAACAGACATCCAAACATACGAAACTGAATACACCAAGAAACAAAAAAACAATATACACAAGCCAATGAAACACACAGCCATCCAAACAAATGAAACGAAATACTCAATGAATAAGCAGTGTTGTTGTTGTTGCATAAAAAAAGCATAAAAAAAATTGTCTTTTTTATGAAATTTTCAGAGGTTGTCTCGGATTTTTGCTCATATCTCCGGTATTTATGGACCGATTTTGCTGATTTTAAATAGCAAAAGCATGTCCAACAGAATTATTGAAGATTCGGATCTCGCCGACATCTGGAGTCCTCTAAAAACTGATTTCAACAAACACACAGACGGACAGACAGACAGACAGACAGACGGACAGATAGACGGACAGACATACAGACAGACGGTCATGGCTTAATCAACTCAGCTACATATAAGGATCCAGAATATATATACTTTATGGGGTCGGAAAATTATATTATAGAAATTACAAACGGAATGACAAACTTATATATACCCTTCTCACGAAGGTGAAGTGTATAAAAACTGTTTTTACTTTTTCATTTTTAAACAACTCACACATGTATACAAATATTAGTTGTGTTTTGTTGCTATCAATGATTGTTAACGCTTAAAGTTAGCAGCAAAACGAACATTTCCTGACTTGGCACCACCCTACAGAAAAAATCAGCTAAATCTTGAAATTATTTATAATTTCTTGGAAAAGTTTTTTTATTTGGAAATTTTCTTTAATTTAAATTTTATATTAAAATATTTTTTATTGTTTGTCATGAAAACATTAATATTTGTATTTTTATTTTTGAATTGGTAGAACTTTTATCGACGTTAAAATTAACTTGTATACTTTTACACGTTAACTCCTAACGTTTATAAATTTAAAATTTATATGAAATTGCATTTGAACGTTAGCAACAAAACACAACTATTAATGAGTGTGATGAGAAGACTTGACATATTTGAGTATTTGGCTTTTTTTATTTTTCACCAATCACATTATAAATATGTACATTAGGGTAAAAATTCCAAAACAAGAATTTAAAGAACAATGTTCTCTTTAAGATAATGTAATACAAATGCAAAAATGTTGGCAAAAATAATAATTTTTCTCATAAAGAAAAAGTAAACTTTATACAAAACTTCATCGCCTTTGGTGCGGGAACTTTTTTCACGATCGCCAAAAAAATAATATCATATTCCTTAACATCTGTTCACGCCCTAAAAGCTCTTGCTATGGTATTTTTGATATTTCCAAAAAGTCAAAACCCTAATGTACATACAGTGAATCAACTAAGTTTTTTGCCTACCTTTTTTAAGAGAATTTTGTTTTTTGTTCATAAATAAAATTCAAAAAAACAGGTAAAAAGTAAATTTATGTTTTCCAATTTAAAATAGAGATTGTGTATAATGGGAAAACCAAGAAAAAAATATTAAAATAAAAATTTTAATGCATTTGTTGTTGCATTTTATTATTTTTCATCAGAATTTGCACGTCAATAAAGTATTTTGCATATTGAAATTTCCAGTTAATTTCGTTGGGTTTTTCAAATTACTTTTTAATTGCTTTTGGAATATATTGTTTTATTGTTAAAAGGACACGTGTTAAGTATTTTTCAATTGTAATTTTCAAAAATCATATCCTTATTGTGTGAAACTGTGCAGTTATTTGCGTTAAAAATGTTTAAAGGACAATTCCAATATAAAAAATTAGTTTAGATTTTTAGAACAAGTAAAAATCAATGAAATTCAATTATGAGATGTTTAATCAATCATTAAAAAAATATAAAATATAGAAATTGATGAAATAACACAAAGAATTATTAAAAAAACGCACTGAGTTGTCTTTAAAAATCTTTAACTGCCAAAGGAGAGCGACTTGTATCCAAGCAAAAACCATTGAAGTCCTCATTTATCTTCTCCAAAGTCCATATGCGAAATTAAAAGAACACTATGTTTAAATTTAGACCCCTAAACAGACCTTAGGTTGCTTGGAAACAATATAAAGTGAATTATCGTGTGGTACGGGAAAAATACTTAATTTAGATATTTACAACAAGAGGCGGTTCTCATCACCTAAGATCCACAAAAGCAATATTTTTCAGCTAATACATACACTACTACGCCTACTGTATTTTATTCATAAAATAATGCATTCAAAATATGAGGTAGAATATCAAAATTCTAGCATGTAATAGTTCTATAATGGTATACGGTGATATCCCCATACTTAGAGTGGCTAGGATGGTACTTAGTGTTAGCTTTATTGAATAAGAATCAATATTATACAATTCTAAATAAAATTCACACAGTACTCCCCAAATAGATGGGGTTTCCGCAATGTAGTTTTTGTTTATCAATACAAAATGACCAAAAACCCAGATTATTTTTGTTATAATCTATAGATTTATACCCCACTAAAATTTTTTTCTAGGTCCAAATCCATTGATTTCCTAATATATCATGTATCCAATTCAAAATTACTTATTATTTTCGAAATTAAATCAAAGAAACGATAGATTTCATGTTAAGTCAAATATTGAAAAATTCTTATAGGTATATAAGATAATAAATCGGTTAAGAAATGTCCAAACTTAGTCGTTCCACTACAAAAATATCTAAAAAATTTTATTCTAATATATAGGAGTAATAAAAATATTAAATTTTATAAAATAATGCAGCAATATTAAAAAAATGAACAAAATACCTAAAAAAGCAAAATACTTTATTGACCTTAAAAATTAACAATACGTTCACATTTTATCAAAAATCTCGTTAATTAATATCACGATTTTACTTTTTATGGTAGAAAATTAAAATATAAGATATTCTTTAAAAAATACAACAAGCAAATTGCTTTATTTTGCTAAACATAATTGTTCAGATAAAGTTTTTTCATAAAATTTATAAAATTTTACATAGGCAAATTACTTAATTGATTCACTGTATGTGCTAAAATAAAAAAGACAAATGTTTTAATTTATGTATGCTTAAAATAAAAGTAAAATTAGCTTCTCATTTCCGGATGTGAACATAAAAAACAGAAATTGCTAATTTTATTCATGTCTATTTATTACGAATGAATCAATTTAAGTGTTCGTACATGAGTATTTCTGAACCCTGATTTTTAATACAAAATTGTATGTAAAAAAAATTGTATTTGTTCTATTTTTTTATTGTACAGTAAAACTTTGTTATAACGAATTGTTTTCTTCAGTTCAGATAGCAGTCAACGCAACTGACATAAAACTTTCTACTATGAAGGGCAACTTTCGTTAGTTGCCAAAAAGTTATCAATATTGTGTCATCTGTGGTTATTTTTACAGACTAGCAACTAAAAAATGTAAACAAACAATAAAAAATATGGATACAATTTTAAATGAATTTGTGTAAAAATTATACAATAAATTCAGAAATGAAGTTCTAAAGATTTTATTTTTAAAAACAGTTTTAAAAATCATGGCCATCCAATTTGAAACGTTTCTGGAAACATAAAAATATGATACAGACCCATTAAAAATAACACGGACCCATTCAATTAGCATTATTTAAGAATAAAATATTATTTTTTATTATTTTTAAAGGTATTACGGTTCGCTTGATAATTTTGAAAAACGCCATGATATCAGGTTTCGAAAAATTATAAATTTTGTTTTGATTGGAAAAATTGTTACCTAGTTTGTTAGAAGAATACTTTTAATACAGAAAAAATTGGATTGTTTTTAAAAGCGCGGCAGAAGGAACAATGGAACAATGACAACAAAAGCGGTGGAAAGCACAATATAGAAAAATAATTCTATTTATGCTCAGAAAGGAAAATAGCTTGTAATAGGGAAATCTACTAATCCAAGATGTTTTAATTGTAAAAAAAGTTTACCAAGTTGACTACACTGCAAACAAAAAAGCTTAGATGCCAAGCGATATAAAAAACATTTTACAACAAAAAAGCTTAGATGACAGGCGATATAAAAACATTTGAAAACGAGAAAATAATACAATATTTTACTAAATCTAATAAAATATTCTAAAAATAAGTGTTA